ATTTATGTTATATAAATCCGTTGGTATATTTGATTCTTATTATTGTTGACATTAAATTGACAATGATAACTAATTGTGTTTATGAAATTATTTTAATTCGTCGAAGAATTAAAATAATTTCAATAATCACTTAATCACCCAAAATAAAAGTACAAACAAGAATAAAAATTGATGAGGTGCAAATTCAGAACGCATCCGAAGATAAACTTTTTATTTTAATGTAAGTTTGAATCATAGATTTATATATTATATATATTTTATATAAATCTATGATTCTATTTTATATATTATATTATTTATATATTATATATAAGATTTATATATATATTCATAGACTAAATCTATGGTTTGAATACAAGCACTCGCGTTAAACAACAACTTTGCATAACAAATAACTATTATTATTTAAAAAGGCATTGTCACAAATTGTATTTCTGTAGCTATGACTCACGTTAATTTAACTTTTTTTCTCTTAAGTTGAAAAAATTTGGAAAGATGATATTTTTCTTGTAGCATAACAAAATTAAAAGTTTACATAAGTAATTGTACGCAAGGCGGAAATAATTATGTCTGGAAACCACTGTTTACTAAACACGAGTTGACGTAAATCGAAAAATTTAACATCATAATGTAACGTAAAAGTTAAAAATGAATAACTTTACATTGGTGTCTGGGCGTGCATTGACTTTATTGAACACTCACTAACTACTTTGGTCCATAGAGATGACGCAATCGCTAGCGTCTTAACAATACAGTTCACATTCCTAGCTGTTACCCAATCTTTGTGTGTCAAGGTGACTATTATCAATCGCACTTGACATTAACGTTCCTTGTTAACCACATGGGGAATAAATTATTTCAACTTATAGTTCATTGTGCTTATTACGGATAGTTTAAATGCATTGTAGATATTCTAAGCTTTCAACGGTTACCCGAATACGTGCTGCAACGCGCGTCGGCCCGAGGCCGCCCGGGCTCGCCCGTGACGCGAGCTCATCCGTTCAAATCGTTAGGTTTCAAATCATCGGCCGTGTGAAGCCAGACTTAGACAGCAGCACACAGCCAGCTTTAGAATCCCGTCGTTATAGACGATTGCCGTCTGATTTGACAACCACTGTAACACGGCCGTTTTGACACCATCGTTGTTTTGGCGCTGACCACCGACATGACTCTTCAAACGCGTACATAGTTGTCATGGGCATAGATCAGGACTATATGAACAATGATCACGTTATTTCTAGCCAAAAAAAAAAGTGAACTGGTAGCAATCTTTTAACTGTTTTTTGGTTATGCGTTTTTTTTGTGTTTTTGTATTTGCTTACCCGTTGATGTCGTGTATAAAAATAATGTGCTAGAAAACACATTAATTAATGATAATAATATAATACGCTTTGAGTACTAGAGCAAAAGAATTCACCCCAGGACACTGCCCGGAACACTCCGACCAAAACCAATTTAGAATAATACAGGCTTCTCAAATTGGGCCTGCGCCCTCAGCGCCACTGAGTTTTGTGTTTCTAATTTACAAGTCGTTTCGTTCATATCTGTCTTTTATCTCGCTCTTTATTTGACTCTACTTTACGCAAATTATGCAAGAGACCATAATGAAATCCTTAGGTTAAAAAATCGACCTTAGCTTTTTTATGTGACAGGACGAACAACCCTGTCTATCCATAACAGTTACAGTGCCATTAACAGCTTTATATCGCAAAGATCTGCCTTTCACTCTGAGACATAAGTTGACAAGTCCCTTGTACCTGTAATTTCACAAGCAATCTTACCCTTCATAACCAGAACGCAGTAATGCTTACATTACTGCTTGGCGTCAGAAATAGGTGGCAGTGGCTACAAATCTTTTTGAATTTTATATTCTTTTTTTGATTAGTTTTGTTTTAAACTGAAATTTTACATTTAAATGTAGGTGGCACCCTTTTCTATGATTTGTCATTGTTTTATTTGTTTTTCATGTTCGTGCAAATCTTACACTTTGTTTCTGTGTTTAAATAAACTATATGTACATTTTCTTTGCTCTTGCTCACTCCTTATTAAACCCGAACCACATTTTTTAATTCCGCTACAAGAATATTAATTGAAGGACCATCAGCTCATGAGATGTCTGAAGCGGCAGGGACAGTTTTCTTAATGCAAGACTAAGCAAGTATTGACAATGTGACTGACCTAGCCTCGTGTCTAATTCTTTGCCGGAACATAGCAATAGTGAAAAATGGCAAAGATGCAAATGGCTAATTGTCCTTCTCGTTACTTCAGTTAATTGTTAGTGAGTTGCCAAATGGCTTTGTCTCTGAAATGTTTGAAAGTAGCGTTTATTGTTTTACGACAATAAGAAAAGGTTATTATGCCGAAAATATTAGTTATATTATATTAGTTTAAGTTCTTTGTGTCGAATATGGGCCATTGTTTGCATTGTTCCTTATTTGCAAACTTGAACAATGAAATAGAAATTAATTTTAATGATGACGGAAAATATCCTAATGTCAATCTGTAAGTCGGAGAGGGAAAGTTTTCGAAGACGTGGTAATTTCCCTAACCCACGTTGCTGTCGGCGTGGTAGACGACTAAACTCTCTCCTTAAAAGTAACCCGCATCTTAGAGTGGGTTAGTACAATAAACGACAGGTTAAATTAGGCTAGGTTAGACTCCCATGAGGCAATGGTGTCCTTCTGTGAAGGTCCAGAAGGAGGCTGAGCGTGAACGGTAGAGGGCCGAATCCGCTCCACGGCAGCGCACCTTCGCAGCTGTTACGGGTGATTGGCAGCCGCGAGAAGGACGTCGAGTTGCTGGGGGGTTCCGGTGCGCGAAGTCGATCCTGGATCCCTCCCACTAGATCACTCGAGAACGCTACTGTAGGGCTCCAGACGGTAGAAGTCTGGCATAGTATCCCAAGAAGATCCCCGAAAAAACAGCTATGTTAGGTACTCATTGTGTCGTCAGTTCCTTTGTCAAATCTTTAATTGAAAAGCAATATTTTTGAAAGCCTTATTGATTAATGGTAGAGGAAACAGTGAGGTTTCGTTTTATGAGTTTGAATGATATCTGTTGTCTCTACATTCTGTCTCTCCGCTTCGGCGTAGTTATTACATTTGAAATATTTCTCATGATATTACAATATTTATAGAAAATGCTTTATTATCTTGAAAATATGACCTAGACTAAGTTAAGTCATTAAATTTTATTTTATTTCATTTCTTAGTATTTTTTTGTAGCGTTAATATCAGGCTCCTAAGTATGGCAAGATTTTGATTTGTTATTATTTTTATTGTTGGCGGTGTCCTAAAGTACTCCGTTGATCCGATATAATTTACTAAAACTATGACGTAGTCGTAGTGGATATCAGAACTGTATTTTAATGTTCAGGGAGTCACTGTCGTCCTGATTAACCTCTTGAGTTTCTTGCCAGTTCTGCACTGGAGTACACAAAGGGCATTACAGTTAAGAACTCATCTCGTTTGTGTAGTAAAGGAGTTATTCCTTTAGTGGTACTAAAATAAATGGAAATTTTAACTAGGCTATATATATGTATTAGAATCTAGAAAGTCTGAATTAAAAACTAATTATTTTCGACCTGCAATTTCCAGAAAATCGTTAGGGATTTTTTTTAATACTATGTAAAGTAAAACGGAACGCAATCCCACGAAACGGAACAGACTTTTATGTAATTTTTAGGCTAATGTGCCAGTCGCTAATGCCAAAGAAGTATTGACAGATCAGATGTCATTCTTATTGCAATTTTAGCCAAATAGTATTAAGATTTTGAATATTTTAGCGTTTAAGTGTTGCTGCTTTATGGACTTTTTTTGTATCGCAGTGTTGCTGGTAATAAATTTAACATATCTACCACACTTTTGTTTTAAATAAAGAAATAAAAAATGCAGGTCACAATATTTTTTTATTATTATTTTGCTAAGCTCTTTATTTCAAGCTTATATCTAGCAAAAAATTTGAGGCTGGTTAATTTTTTCTGGGAATAAAGTACCAAGCTCCATAGTAATTCACATCTTCACTTCAGCCGACAGATGCGTATTGATGGATATCATTATTATGTTCAGGCCATTTCAACCCACTCCTGGGTATTGATTTCTTCTTTATTGCGTTAATTTTTACGGTCCTGCGCGATCCCGCAAATCTGACGATATCGTCAGATCATCACGTTGGTGGTACCTTTCTCTCTCATTTTGGCCTCTATTCTGTGACGGCATCGTCCGTCTTCTCGTCTAGCCAAATGTCCCGCCTATCTCTAACTTAACCTCGTAATGCGATTATTTAGGTCATCGACCTTCGTTTTTCGTCGAATTTCGACGTTAAGTACGCTATCCACGAGGAAAATTCCTTCGTAATGCATGACAAACCTCGACCGACCTCCGTGGTCGCGTGGCTTGCACACTGGTTTTCATGGTGTCACCATCTTTGAAGTCCCGGGGGTTCGATCCCCGGTCGGGTCTAACTAACTTTTCTACACTGTCTCAGGTCTGGATGTTTGTGGTACCGCCGTTGTTTCCAATTCTCATAACACAAGTGCTTTAGCTACTTATTTTGGGATCAGAGCAAAGTATGTGACGGATGTTGTCAAATATTTACGTCTATATTTATTCAACATAGAGGACTTTTTGTGCGACCTTAATTTTGTGCACAAAATTATAAATATTTATAAATATGCATATTTTGCGTAGTGCGGGTCCATGTCTCTGAACCCTAGGTGAGGATCGGCAAGACACATTGATTATAGACTTTTGTCTTCAGGCACTGACATTGATGCACATTATCTCCCTTAAAGATCGCTACAACGATCATCAGTCTTGACAAATTCGTATCTACCGTGTTCCTGCAGCCTTTACCAGTTTCAACCTTCAGTTTGCTTCTCCAAGAATAATTTGAATTGGGGTCTGAAAAGTAATTTTAAATAAATTTTTAAGGAAATTGATCTGAATTATTACGAGTATATCGGGACATTTTGTGTATAGGTGTTATAATTTTTGTTTCAGGGTCGTGGGCGCCAATGGCCTGGTCTGCACGAACGGTGATCCTCGCAACCTTTCCCAGTTTAGAAAGCTGTCCCGATACATCATGCAGGAAGACCTGCTGCAGCCGTTTATCACAGTTCAGGAACAGATGAACATGGCTGCCGATCTCAAGCTTGGAAATGTCATTTCTAAGGAAAAGAAGTCTGTTGTTGTAAGTAAATAACACAACCGTTATTTTTATTTATACAAGTACACCGCATTTGAGTAATTTACTAAATAACTATGAAGTTCATATTTAAATAGGCATACAATTTAATAATAATTCATATAAGACAGACGCATACCCATCCTCTCACAAAACCTCGAACATTCACCACACACAGCCTTGTAAATACATTACAGTCTGGTATAGATGCTATAAGGCGAAATGCTATCGTTGTTTATTATAGGCTTTGAAGCGCTTGAGGTAGATGGGGAGATATTCATTTTACGATATTTAAACATTTCTCTTTTATAAATAAAATATATTCTATTTGTAACAAAAATAAAAATATTTCTTTTAACAATGAAATTACTCATAAGCTCCTGACATGTTTATTACGGAACACGGAAAAGGCAATGTCATTGAAATATTTCTAATAACAATCGAATGAAACTGTTTTATTTTCGTAGTCGAACGTAGTAAAAAAAATTAAATTTTGCAAAACTTCGTGGTTTTTTTATCAAACGAAGTTTAGTCAATCGTATTTCATGCCCCATAGTTGACAACCGGTTTCTCCTGTTTTTTTTTATAATAACAACGCTCACAATCAACATAGCCCCGCACTAGGGAAACCCTGTGTCGCGGGTGCCATGGACATAGACAACCACAAATTACACCCAAACTCACGAGAGAAATAAATGTAGGCCATACAAATATTTCTCACGGGACGGGAATCGAACCTGGGACCTCTGCGTGGTAGTCCGGCATGGTAACCGTTCGGCCACGGAGGCAGTTACAAGTTTTTATTATCAATTAAAAAAACGAATTGAAATTAAGTTTTTATTGAATGTCGGGATGTTGCACCGGCATGATATTCAATTATTTTTTGTGAAATTAAAAAACAAGATCTGCAAAAACATGGAAAGATTCGTGAGGTCCGTTGGTTCGTTCCGTGGCTTAGTTGGCATAGCGTCTGGTACGGTTTGCTAGAAGACGTTGGTTCGAATCCAACTAGATCGACGTAAATCTTTGTTTAATAATTATGAAAACACAAAATTGAATTCATATTTTTCCATTTCGAAAAATCGACTTTTGTTATGATCGAAATACTTCAAAACGTCTATTTTGGGTCTCACTTCACCTGCGTGATTACTTTAATTACTGTTTAATATCAATCTATAACATATTCAGGATGTTGTTGCACCTGCCATGATTTTGCAGTGCATCGGGGTTGTTCGTCATAGCTAAGGCTAATTAATGCAGCTATTATCCGAAAAACAGTGGTTTCCCAGGCGCATAGAGTTCGTGGCAGCGACACACACAGCCTCCTGAATATAATTGCAAACAGGGTTCAGAGTTCTTTTCAAGGGCACTGATACCGATGCTTTTTTACTAACCTTTATGGATGAATATTCCGAAATAAAGATATTTGAATTTCAATATAATCTGCCGTCCACTGCTAAGTGACAAATGATCAAATATCCGGTTTAAATGGCAAAAGGTACAAAATTATTTTTTTAAAACAGTTTTTTTTATATGTTCGACTTATCGGGACTTACCCTAACGATGCATAGCGGAAATATCATTAAACAATATGTCAAAAAATTATTTTATCACTTAACCGCGTTTTAGTTAGTGGACGCCAGAATTAAGGCTCTCTACGGGACAAGTGTATCTTCTAAGGCAAAGGTTTTGTAAAGTAAGCGATAATGAAACTAAAATGATACGCCAAAAATATATTCCACGCGAATCAATGATACTTATAATTATACGGTGTAACTTGACATCGTTACTAGGAAGTCATTTGGCATTGATCTTTAAACTTTGACTTATGTACATAATTATAGATTATGTATTCAAGAAATTAGTGGAATTCCACATTCAGATTACATACAGTTTTCTGGCCCAGTTTTGAAGGGGTTTTATTGGTCAATCTCTTCCCACGTTTCCATCTACATTCGCTCTATAAGTTGGTACTGGCAACTTACAGAATCCTCTTTATACGACCAAACCATAAAATTATTTCCGTTTCTATCTTGGTCACTATACCTTTCAAACCGTAACGCTCTCTTACTGTCTTATTCAGATTTTGTGTGATACGCATTGACTTACAATTATATGGACGTTGGGTCCGTGCTAAAAAGTGTCCGAACTTATAGGGCGTTAAAATCGTATACAGAGCGTCATTCACGCTTTAGTCTTCGTTTGTTCGACTGACAGCGAAGCAAGCAAAATTAGACAGTACTGCGATGACATTACAATTTAAATTCAACGTTTTAGCTTTTTCATATTCCTTTACATGTCACTACGTTGAAATAGGTTGACTTGGGACCATTCATTTGTAAGTCAATGGAGATACGCAATATTTTTCACCTCACTAGCTCGAAAAAGCTTTCTTTCTCATTAGAAACCTGCGCGCAAAAGCGTTTTCACACTAGCATGGAAAAGATTTTTGAAATTCGAGCTTGACTATGTGGTGCATGTAACTTTTTCTTTCGTTTAAAAAAAACATAATGATATGTTCAACTGCTTCATTATGTATGTAAAAACCCGTTGGTATATTTTGTTCTTATTATTGTTGACATTAAATTGACAGCGATAACTAATTTTGTTTATTAAATTATGTTAATTCGTCGAAGAACTAAACTGATTTATGTATGATGATATAGTTCAACTGTTTTTCTTTCATCTACCATTTTCCTCGCCATAGTGAGGTGAAAAGTTGTGTGTTTCGCTCGGCAGCAAAGTTGTTTTGCGTCTCGTGTCTTGAACCCTCGCTACGCTCAGGTTTGAATACAAGCAATCGCCAACGCACGCGTCAAACAACAACTTTGCAGCCTTGTATAACAAATAACTATTAATTACCCGAAAAAAAAAAAAATCATCACATCGCAAGATCAAACTCGTTGCAAAAACAAATTACTACGAAAGACGTACGTCAATCATTCGGCTTTAATTTCCATTGAAAACCAGCCTAATATTGGTTGTGGCATTAGTTGAATGAATATTACAAATGGTAGTTTAATTATTATTAATACAAAGATCGAACAAACAAAGAGAAAAATTCCTTCGATCGAATATTGTATTACAATTGTTTGTTATTTAAAAGTTTTGTTTCGTTTATTTATTTATTTGACACACACTTCAATAAACATTGTCAATATGCACAATATTGAATCAAACCGAACCACAGTAACATAACTAATATTTATACTAATTAATTTTTTATTGAATTGATATTCAATTATTTTTTGTGAAATTACTCCACTAGTTTGTTATAATTATTAATACAAAGATCGAACGCTCAGAAAAAACACTTAGAAAAACATTCGTGTTCGATCTTTGTATTAATAATTATAACAATAATATTATACTGTTTTGTGTTTAGTAGTGAGATATTTATTATTATTATAATCTTGTAAACCATAACTGGTTTGACACAATACAGTTGAATTCATTTCTAACGACATACATAATTTCTACATACTAAAAACCAATCATCTAAAACAATAAGTGGGTATGTCATTAAAAAATTGAACTAATTGTTACGTTGTTTTTATTTATTCTTTCTTTTTGTTTATTTTTGTATTGCGTCATTTCCATTAAATTATTCAATTAAATTCGTCAATTCCATTCTAAATATTACGGAAAATATTGTTTTAATGCAAATATTTTAAATCGTAGTTGTATAAATTTTCAGGTACATGAAATAGTTCAACTTCTGCGTCTGGGCAATGCGACGAATACAACCAGTGAACGGCTGTCGGGTGGTGAGAGAAAACGTCTATCCATCGCTTTGGAGCTACTCAATAATCCCCCTGTTATCTTTTTGGATGAACCCACTACGTAAGTTAATAGGTTTTCGCGATTGTTAAACATAGGAATTGAAACGATTTTTTCAGATAACTTTTCACGCTTTTTCTATACATGCGAGCATATAGACAAGAGAAATGTTTGTCTATGCTTGTTACATCAGTCAATGTTACGTCGGACTGTTGCGATTTTGTTAAAGATCTTGCCGAGTTGATTTCTTCTATTTTATGTTTATTTATATATGTTTAGTTACTAAATGAAAGCAATGTTTTTGACTTACTGAACGTATTTATTGTATTTAATAAAAATGTGCAGAGCTGGACTGTGAAAAAAAAAAGGAAATCACAGAGAGACAGAACGAGTGAATTTAGACAGAATGAGGAGCTTGATTGATTAGTTCGTTCACGAACAATACTGCTTAGCGGTAGAAATAAGTGGCAGATTCTATCCTGGACGAACTCTTTCACAAGGAGATCTACTGCTACAAAATTTTCTTGTTGATTTGTGAAATTAAATTGAGAAACGCTAATCGTATTTAGCGAGTTCTTTTTTCAAAAAAGACAAAATACTAGATATTTGTCCATGTTCTATTCAAAATTTATTGCGACAAATACGTAAATGGGTGACCATAATTTTGATTTCGCTTATGAAGGTTGACAAGTTTTGTTTCGCACGATTAGGCTGCTCGGCGGCGGTAACTATTTCGTATTTTGTTATTCATACGAATAACAGGTAGATATTGCATATACCCCGCACTAGGGAAACCCCGTGTCGCGGGAGCCATGGGCACACACATAGACAACCACAAATTACACCCAAACTCATTAGGGAAATAAATGTAGGCCATACAAATATTTCTCCTTTCTGCTAGGACCTCTGCTTGACAGTTCGGCATGGTAGCCGTTCGGCCATGGAGGCAGTAAATTAGTTTATGGCGATTGAACTCAGGAAAGGTTACAATTTCACGTAATCTCTTAAATTTTATCATGTTTAATAAAACTGTTATTCAGTATACGTAATTTCATTTTATTTATTTTTGTTTTCCAGTTTTTGTCGAAGCTTGCTCTTATGACTTTTTCAGTTGTGCCTCTTGGCATATTATATTCGTTGTTGCTTATAGTAGATAAGAATATCATGGCAATAGAACATTATGATAATCAAGATATAAATATTGCAATTAATACAGCGACATCTTTTGTCAGTTTCTGGTATCTGTAAAGAATCTAATCTTCAATCAGAAAATATTCTACCTCTAAGGGTGGCAAAAAAGTGGATGTATCCGGTTTATTGATTTCAAAAGAATACATTATAGTCCTTAGATACCTACATAAAGTATGAGTATTCAAATGCTGTCATCGAATATAGAGGCAACTACAGGGACAGATTTAAAATAATCTCAGTACAGAGTACTAAAAAAACCGACCTCAAAAGTACATACGTGGAATTACGTCTATTTGCTAAGTTTTATTGGAATATAATAATATAAGTGAAATTTAGGCGCTATTTATAAAAATGAATGTTCATGCGTGATCAGCCACCCTCAGAGGTGGATGATTTTCTTCAAAATGAAATGGGACCACTATGGAGGTACCCTCTTTCCATCAAAAAAATAATCATGAAAATCGGTTCACAAATACCGTAACATATCATATCATATCGTTTATTGCATTATGTGGTACAGTAAGGTCTTAAAAATAATACATAACATGATCCAACATAAACCCTGTAAGGGCACAGCAATTTGACTTACTTCACTAGGTACATTGTAAATTATTAATTATAATCGATGAATTCTTGCAAATTGTAAAAACAGTTCGACAGTAAAAAAACCTTTAACTTATTAACAAACATACGTTCCGTTTCAATATTTCGTATTATGAGGGGTATTTTATTATAAATTTTTATTGCCATATGGTGTGTGCCAGAAGATACAATGTATAAATTTGTAAATGAACCAACCAACTTATTTCTTTTTTTTAGTCCTTTCAATTATTTTGAAATTTGAATTGTATTCTAATAAAAAAATGGAAGCAAATAATTTGCTACAATTTGCAAAATAGTTTTTTTTGTGTTATCAAGCGACGGGACAAACAAGTCGTGCGCCTGGTGGGAAGCGACATGCCTATCCATGACAGTGTCATTTAGAGTTTTAAATCGCAAAGATCTAAGGGGCACTGCTACTACCTGTCACCCTGAGAAATAAGTTGACAAGTACCTGTTGAAAGACCAAGTACAAAGACACGACGCAAGCATATAGAAAAATTCGTGAGGTCCGTTGGTTCGTTCCGTGCCTTAGTTGGTATAGCGTCTGGCACGGTATGCAAGAAGACGTCGGTTCGAATCCGACCGGATCGAAGGAATTTTTTCTGTGTGTTTTTTCTGAGTGTTCGATCTTTGTATTAATAATTATAACAAACTAGTGGAGTATTTTAACAAAAAATAATTGAATATCAATTCAATAAAAATTTAATTAAGTATCTGTAATTTCACCAGCACCCTTATTTATCCTTGAAAATCAGAACGCAGTAATTAATGTGGCCTACACGGCAGCAGAAAGTTTTATACAGATTTTAAAAAGTATATTTTTAGATTCTAAAGCATATTATTATCTATTAAATGAGTACACGATTAATTTAAATACAATATATGATCAATCTTCGCTGGTATGGTATACGCACGTCTGATACTACTCTTTAAAACAATACTAGTTATTTGTAAAACGTGTCAAAAGTAAATGCTTTTCAAGGTTTAATAGTACGAGTATTTTATTAGCCGTTAAATAAGGTATTTGTGATTTAGTGCCGTAGTAAATAACGGGTATTTTGCTGAAGATTGTTTTTACGATCTCCCTTTCTGTCTTTACTAATGTATTTTATAGGCCTGTATTTAAACCTGTATTTAATAAGTTTTGAAATAAGTATGTTTTATATGCAGTAGGCGTCAGGCAGCGAGCGAAGCTTTCTTGGTAGCTACTTCATTTGCACAATCTGCCTTAAAAATAAAAATACATTACATACTTGCATAAAAATGCTATTTTACAGGTCGTGAGTCGTGAGAAAACTTACATTTTCAATTAATCAAATTTTAGTACCAATAGAGCTTCTTGTGAAAGAGTTTACTTTTTATATTTCGTTTTAATGTTATTTTATTACCTATCTACTTTTAACTTTTAGTTTTAATTTATTATTATTAGTTTTATTTATTTTTTATTTTTTCTAAATTTACAAGTGTTTGCTGATGTTTTGTAAGCCACCAATAAATCTTTTTCTATTCTTCAATTTAAGTGTCCTCTGTTTCGCCGGCAGAGGACATTACTCTGTTTCGCCGTCCGCCAGTTTGTGTTGGCTCTGCTTATTACAGAAAAAACAACTGTGCAACAACGAACGCCTTGTATCTGTACAAGTTAGATTAGATAGGTATCTATGGAATCTCTAAAATAATATGTAATGTCGCATTGCAGTGGTCTAGACGATGTGGCATCATCAACATGCTTGTCTCTCCTCAAACGAGTAGCAAGAGGTGGTAGAACAGTCATCTGTTCAGTCCACACGCCTTCAGCTCGTCTGTTTGCGGAGTTCGACCATGTATATGTGGTTGCAGATGGAAGATGTGCTTATCAAGGCACTGCAGCCGGGGTAGTGCCTTTCCTGAAGGAACTGCAACTACCATGTCCTATTACTTATAATCCTGCTGATTTTGGTAAGTATCATTCAAGGTAGTGTTTTAGTAGTTATATCTTGGTTAATTTTCTTTTCTGAATGATACACGTGTTCTTGGTTTGTCTTATAACCGAAGTTTAGATGCTATTTTTTACATAATTATAATTTTTATAAAAGAAGCTACCACAACAGTTTGTGGAATTACATCTATTTGGCAAGTTTTATTGAAATTGGTTGGCAGATAGTGAGTGAAATTTAATAAACCAGATTCATTCCCTGATTTGTCACCCTTCGTTTTCTTCAAATTTGAATGGGAACACTGCTGAGGTACGCCTTTACAAAAAAAAAATCGTAATAGGTTCATAAAAGTTGGAGTAATTGCACATCATATGCAAAAAAATACAGTCGAATTGAAAGCCTCCTCCTTATTTCAAAATGTGTCGGAATAGGTGCGGAGAACAAATACCTTTGTCTCACCTGATGGAAAGTAACGATGAGGTCGACGAAGGAGCATGCTCACCAAAATAAAGCAAATGTACTCTCGCCTTGAAAAGGTCCAAATTAAGTGTTCAGGGAATAAGTTTGCAGGTAGGGAATTCCACTCCATAGCAGTTCGCAGTATACTCGTAAATGTCCGTTTCGAATCCGAGAAAATACGAATGTCGCTTGTACACCTGGCGATAAAATGATCCCTGTGACATTTCGGACTGTTATTTCTCGGATTCGGAACAGGGAGTCTACTCTCGATCTCCGTCCGACATCCGTCCGAAACAATTACTGCCAAATAAGTAATACTTGATCAAATGAGAAGATGCGTGATGCGAATGAAGCTTCATTCTTGACACTTGTCTTTTTATTTTGTCGAATATTACTTATTTGACAGTAATTGTTTCGGACGGATGTCGGACGGAGATCGAGAGTAGACTCCGATACGAATCGGACGTAACGAATAACGCTCGTAGACTTTCTTTATTCTATTGAGTGGCACAATCGATTTATCATTTTAATGTCATTCCATATTCCTTTATGGACAGGCGATGGGGAATTTTTATTTACAGTTTTTGCTGTACAAAAAAGTTTGAAGTTTGAATGCAAATGATGTTGTTTAATGCTGCATATGAAATAAAACTATGCAGTAGTGGTAAAATATGGATGGAGGCAGTAATGTTACAAATTTCTTCTATTCTAGTGATAGAAGTTTCATGTGGTGAATACGGAAACCATGTAGATAGAATGGTGTCGGCAGTAGAAAACGGTAAAAATCAAAAATGGAAAGACTACGCAGTGAAAGAACTGACTTTGGAAGAAATGGAGATAGAACTATTAAACACGGGAGGTGTAGAGAAACATAACTATAAGTATGGAAGTACAGGATTCCAACAGTTCATGGTGCTGTTGAAGAGAATGACGTTGCAGACTTTAAGAAATAGGGTAAGTTATATAATACAACCACACCTACTCAAGGTAACAGACACCAAATAATGATTATCTTTTACTTACAGGACTACCTGAGACTTCGTACAGGGCTACATCTCTTTCTGGGTATCATCGTGGCAGCGTTGTTCAACAGGATGGGCCAGGACGCATCTAAGACTATCTTCAACTTTGGTTTCTGTTTCGCTTGCGCTATTGTGATGCTGTATACTCCTATGATGCCGATTTTACTAGCCTGTGAGTATTTTCTGTTCTTTTGGCACCATATCTATCTCGGTCATGTTTTCCTTTGTGTCTTTTTCAACTTTTGACAAATCAGTTATTATAATTTCGTACTGTTTTGTAATAGTTTCTTTATAATTTTTTTTATATAGTGTATTTGTATCATACAACGGTCCATTAGGCTAAGTCAAATTCGTTTATACTCCCAGTGTAGTAATATATTATTTAAATATTTTCTTAATAAACTTGATTAAACTTGATAACTAAACCGCTTCTTTTTATGTTCCAGTTCCATCAGAAGTGCAATTAGTTAAAAGAGAATACTTCAACCGATGGTACGGTCTAAAGCCCTACTTCGCAGCATTAGTGGTCTCCAGGACTCCATGCACCATCTTTTTCAGCGTCTTGTACATATCTATTACATATCCACTGACATCCCAGCCTTTGGAGTTACCGAGGATTTTAATGTTTACTGCAACTTGTATCATGATTGCTTTAATATCGGAGAGCATGGGTACTGTTATATCTTCAACTTTGAGTGTTGTTGTAAGTATCTTGCTATTGTTGACTCAGTTTTAATTCCAATGGCTGTCGATAGTAATGTCAAAAGTATTTCAATTACCAATTAAATTTTCGAAGTCTTACTTGTCACCGATATTAGTAATGGCACTTGTATATAAATCAATTGTATGATATGGTCAAGTGACGTTTAGGTTTATGTTAGTGCAGGAGTTGAACGTCATGATTTATTATCCGAATTAATCACGATGGAGCTTTCTCTGATATTGATTTTATTGTTTCCAGAACTCGGTCTTCACTGGCCCCTGTTTAAGTGTACCTCTCATGCTGCTAGCGGTTTACGGCATCGGTAGCGGTGATGAGCAACCTCCGATCATCTGGAAACTTGCAAGATCCTGCTCATACCTGAGATATGGCCTTGAAGGCTTGGTAGAAGCAGTGTATGGGCCACCTAGGGACGATCTGATTTGTCCTGATCATATAGATTACTGCGAGTACAAGAATGTTGCGTAAGTTCTTGTTGCAATTGTTTATTGTTCTTTCTTATCGGTCGAAACGTTTTTAACGCAAGCAATACAATTATAAGTAACGTTACGTCCCTGGTCGCAGAATTTTGGATTCGTGGTTTTGTGGAAATGGCTTTTTAATTTCTGATATTCCGTACCTATGTGTGTATACAGTGGAGCGTTTAATCTTCACCATTAGACCAGTGTTGCCAGATGGTTACATTTCTCATATTTTTCGTAACTTTTAACCGTCTTGGGTAATGTGTAAATTGTAACTTATGTTTTTAAGGTAATTTTCGTAATTTTTGAGAACGTTGACATTTTTTAAAGTCAACTGTGTTTGTTATTGCAAATTCAAAATATTTCATAAATGCACCCGAATTATACAATAAAGTAATTCGGAAATGCCGCAAAGAGTATTAAATCTTAGTTTCACATGCTGTAGGTACGTATTGTGTGTGTACATAGTAGCGAATTGTTTATTTTTAAGGTTTTAGACGTGAACACTTCTACATTTGATAAAATAAAAGAAAATATAACTTTTCAAAACAAAAAGGAAACTTTTCAAGTAACGAAAAGTAATTTTCGGCTCAATATCCCTGGCAACACTGCATTGAATACAGTATGGACAGGATGGATCAATTCGCGTTGACGTCCGATTAATTAACAAAGCTTTTTCATAGACTTCTATTTTATATTATTATGTCTTATAAAATTGGACTGATCATTTTTTCTTTTTATTGCAGGTATTTTGTAAAAGAAATGGGCATGTCAGGAGTATCTTTCTGGACGGATATGGGGATCCTGATCGTGATGCTTCTCGGGATGAACCTTTCTGGTTACTATTTACTAAGGCAACGACTTTCTCCCAACTACGCTTTCAGAGCCCTCAAGTACATAGGTAGTTTTGTTAAGACAAAAATGAGTATTTCCAACCATTGAAGTAAGATTCATTAATGGTTTTATTTATGCATATTTTATTTCTATTCGTTGTTTAAATATTCACATTCGTTTTTTTGGCACATATTCAACGTCAATAATAAAGGTAGAATTAATTAATGAACATTAAGGGTGCAATCAAATTGGATGCTTATAGAAGTGCTGTAGTGGCGCTGCAACAGCACCACTAGATACTATATGAAAATTAGTATTTTCATACAATTTTTAGAAGCGCAGCTGCAGTGCCACAGTCGCGTCACGCGCGCGCCTCTGTTGCAGACAAGATATTGTATGAAAATTGGTAGTGGCGTGGATGCAGTGCCACAGTGGTGAGACTATAGCGCTTCTATAAGCGTCTAATTTGAAGGCGGGCGCTCTTATGGCCATTCGCCGGCTTTTGAAAACCTCGTAACTCCGTTTTTGGACGAAATCCCTTTTTTACTCTTCAATGCGGGCAATTAAATGTAAGTCCTAGACTCTGTTTTAGTTATAACATGAAGGTATAATCATAGATTGTCATATTATTATTTCTAGTAATTCTGTTTTTTGTGTCTATGGTGTATGTGAACTTTTGATCATATTAATGGAGTTCGAGGTTTACGAATTTAGCCTACGCATTCTTATTACATTTCCGCCATGAGACAAAAAGTATTATATTATGTATCTAAGCATTTCTTGTACTTTATGTACCTATTTAAAAAATAATTTTGAAAGCAATGCAATTTCGCATTTACTACCTGTTTGCTAGAATATACCAATTATTAATATCACAAAAAGATTCTGTGATACATCTTATAATGTTATTGAATTTAATTTTACTGGATAAGCTGGTGTAAACATTACTGTTGTGTAGACTTAACAAAGATTAAAATAGATTATGTATATTATGTATAATTTCGGTGAAAATATCGATTTTTTTAACTTTGGTACTTTAACACTTGTAAGAAATATAAGGCGGGCAGGGATCGAATAAGAAAATAGGCAAGAAAATGTACTTTTTTTTGGGATTATCACTATGTAACAAAGTTTCAAAAAGGTAATGTTTCCGGTTTGGCAATATTAGTTTCTGTCTTATTGGAGGAGCAAGCATATAGAAAAGAGTAGCTATATTCCTGAAAATTGTTTTTGTGGCTGATACAGTGGTGTTTGTTATTAGTATTGGTATTTAATATTTGGTATAATGATATTTTAGTGTCAGTAGAGCTCCTTGTGAAAGTGTTCGTCCAGGGAAGTTCTGCTACCTTACTTATTTCTGCTGCCAAGTAGTAATGTGAGAAAGGGTAAGATTGCTGGTGAAATTAAGGGCGCACACACTTGTTAACTTGTCTCAGGGTGACAGGCGCAGGGGCAGTGCGTCTAAGACTTTTACGATTTCTAAGTGGCACTGTAACAGTTATGGACAGGCGTGTCGCTTACCAACAGACGCACGACTTGTTCGTCTCGTCACTCGGTATTATATTATATAAAAAATTCAATTACACAGCTGCCTATTTACATAGCTATATAGTGATATTTATATAATCACGCAAATCTATAGATTTCCTGGTTCTTTGTCATTAATTTGTAGAATTTTGAAATATTCTATTCCTATATAGATATATATATATATAGTTCCCTTTTTGTCATTTAATAAAAAAAAATCTGAAAATTTGTACGTGTTCTGTATGGTACGTATATTTCAACTTTTCGTTCTTCTTACCACAAAAGCAAAGCCTGCAATGATATGAAATAAAGTTTTGTCATGTAAAAATATAAAAATGTTGGAACCAATTAGAAAATAATATTGATAACCCAGAAACAAAAATCGTGTTACACGGTGATAATTAAGGTATTGTAATAATTATGTAAAGGTAATTTAATTTGTATTTTCAAATTATATTGATCGAGACATCAAACCGATTTCGGCTGACCATTAACTTGGTTTGTTTTTTTAATTATGCTCTGTATTAACTTAACTCCAGCAAAAAGTCGTAATTTTAATTAAGAAAAAAATAGATGTAATTTCAATTTATTTTATATTTTAACAAAAGCTTAATGTTTCCCTTGTTGAGGATTATTTTAAGACTGAAAGGTTTGCGACTTGTAATTAAACCATTGTTGTAGGTTTTGTACTTTTATATAATAACTTATTTTATGTATGGTAATTTTAATTCTTGGCTAGGTGGAAGTACAATGTAGGCATCAGATACTTATTAGATTTTTGTATAACAAATCACTATTTTTTTCTATTGATATGGACGGTTAAAAGCTGAAAGATGATAAACTAATCTTAGGCTTATCTTATATTGTCGACGTAATGTACAAACTGGACTCAAAAAACAGGTCGCGCGTCTTCAAGAGAATTCTCGCGCAACCTCCGTCTTATGTAATTTGTCGTCATCAACTTATTGTTACGTCACGCTGCCGGTTTTAGGCCGCTGGCAACTTTATTACGTTTTCCGAGGATTGTAAACCTTCTTCGACGTACAGGTTCCACCATGATATTTTCCTTCACCGAAAAACTCATGTTGAATTTGAAATTATATTTTGCACATCAATTCCGAAAACTTAGAGCTGTGAGCCCGGATTTCGAATCCTCGGCCTCTGTTTGAGAGGCGGTAGGTCAAATTATTAGGCTACCACAGATTAACATTCGGCATTGGGCATTATTACTCAATAATATTTGTAACAAAAAGTATTACTTCAACATTATCTAACTTCGTTCAAAAGCTTTTTAGCGGGTCCGCGCTATAAAGTGTCCGCACTTGTAAGGCGCTAAAATCGTATACAGAGCGCCAAACTCCGCTTTAGTCTTCATTTGTTCGACTGACAGCGCGATACTGCGATGACATTACAATTTAAATTTCGAATAGGTTGACTTGGGACATTTTTTTCGTGGTTTTTGTATTAGACCCGTCGTTCATTTATTTGTAAGTCAATGTTTTTTTATCACAAATAAGTGTGCATTTGACCTCCATCTCACCTGATGGAAAGCGATGATGAGGTCGACGATGTAGCGATGTAGGTGTGCATACCTAAATAATGCCTATTCACTCTGGCCTTGAAAAGGTTCAAACATTCGGGGAACAAGTCCGCAGGCAGGGAATTCCACTCTCTAGCCGCTTGCCATATAAATGTGAAAGCGACACGCCTCGTACGTATCCTGGGAATATTCACAACATAGGGCTGGGACTCCAGCCCACGTCTAGACCCCCGATGATGTAAAGGGGAAGGCGCAATCAAATTATGTAATTCCATCGCACACTCTCCGTGATATATCCTGTCATTCCATCTGCGTCATTAATGCACATTTAACTGTAGTTATTGCTAAACTAAATTGAGTGCAAAATTACATGGTAACTAATACATTAACGTAGAATCGCCATCTTTTATTTTGTAAAATTTTATGAAAACTTTTAACTTTACATTTTTACTTTACATTCGTACTTCATCAGTTTTAAGTAACTACTAAGTAAAACCAAGCTCGCGAAGCAAGCGAAAAGATACCATCGGCCAAGACGGTATGTCGCGGTTTTGGTATAGCAGCGGAACTTCATATTAACACTCGGCGGGATACCGAGCGTTTTTTTTCCCTACCCACACTGGTAGCGAATATCGCTTATATATTAATAAGCTTTTATTTTCAACTAAAGTTTCGCTTAGCCTTTTTTGCATTTCAACCGCCAATACCATGTGATACCAATGCACGGGATTTCATGTATTCGATTATGAAATCTATGCATGACGCAACGTTAAGCGGTTTAGGGGATAGTGTACAGTTCTAATTGCCCTATCGCTGATCGCCGCGGCGAGCGGTGTGTTTCGGATCTTTTAGATAATGTTCCTTAAATTTGATTTAGATATTTAATTAAAATTGTTTATTTAAACAATCGTACTTTGATTACATTTTTAGCATAATCGTGGAGGTAAAAAAGGAAAAAATAAAAATAAATTTCATCATAAAATGTCTTTTATTTACGAAAATTCATCTCCTTAAAATAACATCACACAAATGAACATAAAAGATTAAATTTAACAAATTCTGACTAGGGCAGTCGCGATGCCTTTTCAAACAATCATAATAAAATTATAATAGAAAAAAAAAACAAGAAAAAATATACTTTTACAATAGTGTTCATAGCATAATAACAAATTTAAAAAAAAGATAAAAATGATACGTTTTTATTCATAATTTCGAGAAATCACGCTTATATATATAATTCCATACCTGTTAAGTTAAAGTATCTAAGTGCTTTCTAGGCGTTGATTTCTATAAAGAAAAAACAAGTGCATTCATCCATACCTAAGTTATTTTCACTTTGATAGTATTCTATATTAATATGAGATAGTCATAAGATGTCTGTCGCAAGTACATTATATAATTATTTTATTTATCGATTTTATTTACAAGCGCACAATCATTCTTAATAGAGAGTATACAGTTCCTGACAATGTGTATACAATGCCAAAGATCCAAAAAACGATCCCATAATTTTCAAGCGATTGAAGATGCAATTGATTTTTAGTGCTCAGAGATCGGAATAAGTAGGGTACATTATTATTTACATAAATTTCTAGGAAGCATTACACACAGAGCGGTTAATTGTTCCCTCTCCAAATTTAGAAGAAAGTTTTGTATGTAATTGTAAGCAAATTATCACACACCAGCAAATTTAACGGAACATTACATCGATAAAATGATGCAGTGTTTTTTCAAAAGTGTGGCCGCTTACTTTACTTTAACTTTACGTTTAATTTAAAAAAAAAAACTAGTTTACTGTCTTATTTTCATTATTCTTTATTTCTTTCTAATAAAGGTTCCAGTGGGTTGAGGTTGACAAAGTTTTTTTATTTCTTCAATATTTAAATTTTAAAATTTTCAACAGTTTCTGCTTTGTCGCTAAGTCTAAAAAATACATTTTGTTTTTGATCAAGGCTGTACAAAGTCGATGTTACGATTAAAATTTTGTAAAGATTTTAATTGTTACTTTACATCTAATTATTATTTATTTAAATACATATACATGTTACTATATATATTCTCACTTTTTTGTTCCGGTAAGTGTGCCGCTCTGTGTAGTGAGTGTTGTGGTTTTAATTTTAATCATTGCGAGATTTTAGTGGGAGATATTACCAACTCTATGTGTTACTTGAAGTTTAGGTAAATGTCCATTCTGATCTCTGGTAATGATAACAATAGAGTTAATATTATATGGATCTTAATCCACGCGGATTATCTGAATTAACTTGAATATTGTCATGCAACATTAACGTGCCCATTTCAAACTTTAGTACCGATGTCTCTGTTGTTGTCTTTTCTTGCCAAGCAAGACATTACAACTATAAGTGGAAGTTAGTTACCTTAGTTACCTCGCGAACACAAGCGCAGCTATTTTGATTTAACTGTAACTGGGTTTGCGGAGTAGTTTACTCCCATTTTTATTAATAATGGACTTTCGTAAAATAACATATGAGTCTATAAACTATTTAAAATATATACAATACAGTTAATTATAATAATATTTTGGTATTACAGTAAAATGGTGTGGAATACATTTATAAGTGATATAGGCCAATATTGTATTATCGCGATTTAGGGCGTTTTCAAAATAGACGCTTATAGAAGCGTCTGTGACCGCTTCATCTTCCACTCATCTTTACTAAATTAAAACTCGTTTATTACGTTAAGCGTGTCATATACAACAACACGTACAACCCTCGTTGGCAATATTTACAGAATGCTATTTCACACATTGAGTGTGTGACATCTGTCATGCAATATAGAAA